TTGGCGAGCGGACCTTGTTACCCTCGCCTTGATCCTGCGACCCACACCACTGGCTTGTATGTAGCGACGCCCCTGCACTCCCATTTGCTTTCTGATGACACATGAAGCTCACCGTTGTCCTTCTATTGTCATTTTGCCCTCCCTCCTAATCCTTTATTTCACAACTGTTTCGATTCATCTAGGCAAAATTAATGTTAACTAAAGCCTTATGCTCTTGCATTATAAACTTTCTTGATACGTGATACTTGAATGGTTTGCCCTCACTAGTTGTGCGGGCCCACCATAATCTCCATTTTTCGGAGATTTGCTGGTTAAGCCATTGTAGTTCTCTGGAATCCCAACGTCAGCCAAGCTGGTCTGCCCAGGTGGTCACCACCATAGGCAGTCGCCTCCCTTGTGGATCAGGGGAACATTTGCTATCATGCGACTTTGATACCAGGACGGTGGTGGATCCTGGTACTCTTAGACATCTCCCAGCCACGATGACGCGGTAAACCGTTGGGAGGTGCATTATCAACACATTAAGGTTACCATCATTCTTCATATAATCTCTACTCGTTGCTTTTCTTTCTTTCCCTCTTTCTTTTTTTCTTTCTTTCTTTCTTTCTCTCTCTCTTTCTTTTTTCTTTCTTTCTTTTCTTTCTTTTCTTTCTTTTCTTTCTTTTCTTTCTTTTCTTTCTTTTCTTTCTTTTCTTTCTTTTCTTTCTTTTCTTTCTTTTCTTTCTTTTCTTTCTTTTCTTTCTTTTCTTTCTTTTTTTCTTTTCTTCCTTTTCTTTCTTTTCTTTCTTTTCTTTCTTTTCTTTTTTTTCTTTTTTTCTTTTTTTTCTTTTCTTTCTTTTCTTTCTTTTCTTTTTTTCTTTTTTTTCTTTTTTTTCTTTCTTTTCTTTCTTTTCTTTCTTTTCTTTCTCTTCTTTCCTTCTTTCTTTCTTTTTCTTAAATACTTTCTTAAAACTTAGAAACTTTCTTAAATACTTATGCTTCTTATAAGTGCTCTAAGAAATTCACTATTCTCACACCAACTTATTCATTTACAATTTCTCTGCGTTCTAATCTATCGATGCTATTTGTTGTACTTTTGCCAGATTTGAATTACCTTGTTCATAAGTAGCCTACTCCTCAATAGCTTCTTCATTGCTGGTGTGTCCTTGAAATCGCTATCACATTCCTGCACCTTGATTATGAAAATACTCTGGTTTTTGTAGTTGTACTGATATTGTCACATAACTAGTAATTTCCAATCATATTCCGTGCTCTCACAAACCTGCTGTGTAGTGCTCTACATCATTGCTTGTGAAATTTGCTTAGTTATACTACTACCAATTAAGCCACCTTACTTGTAATTTATTATACCTACATTTCTAGTCTCATAACTTTGTCGTGCAAGTATCATGCGCATAAACGGTTCAGTTACCCACGTTTGAGGTGTAGAAATTCATTTTAAACTCAAGAAAACCCGCACGTTGTTTTCGCTACATATTACGACACAGCAAAGTGTTCTATAAAACTATAAAGTTCCAATCTCTTTAAAAAAAATCTACTATCGTGAAATTATCGTCAGTTATCGAGAAACCAACTCCATAATCAGTTCTGCATTATACTAATGTATTTTCCTCATGTTTTGAATTATCTGTTTCATTTTTTTGCATATTGATGTTTTTAGTCACCTAAGCCTCTGTTCCGAATATTTTGTCGCGACTTCTGCACTAATGCGACAGTTTCCTGGATAATCCGTTTAACAGTAACAAGGGTAACCTGGTGCAACATAATGCCGCGACTACAGTTGTTCGTAAGACTTTTCGTTCCAAATCAAACTTAAGTATCCAGTTGTCCGAAATTTGGTGGTTGATAACGGATGTAACTGACCCGCTGAAGTGTTGAGTACTTTTGCAAGTCACTGAGTTTTTTAAATGAGCACTCATTACTTCAGTAACTACCGCTAATTACTAAATTTTTTACATGGATTGATATTGTATTCATCGCATTACGAGTACCTTAGAATTTCTTGGATTCGATTCGTTTCGTTGCATCCGCCATTCACGAAGGCCTTCGAGCTTCTTTTTTACATGTAGCTTCGGCTTGTGCTTGAGGATTTTTTCATTCCCGTCACTGATGTCATCGAATGCTGGTGAAGTTGATTCTCTTCTTGATTCTGAGTTAACCGTACTAGACCCTTCTCATCTGGATTAGAGGTAGGTAAGCTTGTCCCAGAAAAGTCTGGCACCACTTATTACTATATTAGTAGGCACTTGTGTGAGTGTTATAGTGGACAACCGTGCGCCAGTGCTTTCCCTTTGGTTAGAATTATACATTGTTGCACCACGTCAGTACTGTTCATATTGCTTCATTTCCACTTGCGCTCAGGTGGCGGCGACTAAAGTCGTCACCTCAGTTTTGTCAATCGCTCAGCGCACTGTAACAATTACACTTACCACCGCCCAGTTCCGTAAATAGCGAATAATATCTCCTATCAGCTTTCTTTTGCTTTTTCGCTGCATTGATTGTTTAGGTAACATTGTTCACTAGTACCATCCACATAAATGTGTCGAGTTGGCTCTTTCCAGAGATTGTAAGAAATAATCCACAAGTGAAACACTAGTCATTTTTTATGAATGCTCATCATCAAGTGATTCACTAACTGCAAATGCTAACGAAATGACTAGCGAGTGGTTTTTGTTGTTGTCGTTGCACTTGCCACACTTCTCCGACAGTGTCCATTCGGAAGAATAAAGATCAGCTGTAGACTGTCTAGCCAGCGATATGTCTCATATGTTCTCCAAGCATATTCGTCTTTATTTTCCGACATTCGAAAAACAAATACCAGTTCAGAAGTTAGCGCTTTTCTATTACAGGAAGCATTATTGTGACCGACAAAGAAACTTGAAATTCTGGAATTTCTGTGATATTTTATAGGTAATATTGTCCGGTTTAGTACAATCTGTTTTTTTTCGCTTGACTGCCAGACTATGCCTTTTTATGTCTTGCGAATACTTTCTGATTCTTCCCATTACACGAAACGAACTGTTACAATTTTCAACTGTGCTCCTTCGACGTCACATGACGGACGGTTTGCACTTGTAGAACAACTGATGATTCCCAGAAACCGGTTAGTGAAGTGTCGTCATTGTTGTTGACAAATCGCAGTGTACTATTCTCTACTTGACAACTTTATCAGTACTGAAATATTGTCGATAGAAATAACAAGGTCTGCTGGACGATCACAGAAGATACATCATCAGTGCTAATTACCAGCATTTATACTTTTGTTGGACAAATGCTATTTATTATAATTGAAGAGCATTTTGAAGTCGACTACAATGTAGATAAGTGGGAATATCGAACTATTGACTTCAATTTCGGCTGGTACACTAGTCAACTGATCTGCTGTACACACATGGTCTTTGGTTCGATCGCGCACTGCGTACGAGCCAGCTTTCCGGAGTTGGTATATTGGCATCAAACTTTCCTGATGAGATAAAAAGCCTAAGCTCATACATCGCCAGTCTGCTATAAAACAATGTACAGACAAAATATGCATTGGATCACCACACTGCTATACTGAGTGGAGTCGGATGCACAACACATCCCTTAAGAAAAGATCAACTTCGGACGCCTCATTCATCCCTTATCTCTTGCTGTTGTCAGTTGAACACCGTAAGCTTTCTTCCCCAACGTTTTTTCATAAACACATGATTCCTTCATAATAGTGATACCAATGTTTTAATTTTTATTTACCGTCTACTCTTTTTCATGGTAGACTACGATGTGAACTACAAACATAAGGATGCTGAGATATGAGCAAAACTCAGAACACCAGTTGAGCTTCGAACCCTGACTACTTTTGCCGAAAGCACATGTGTTATCCACCGTACCAACCAAAGACCGTGGTTTGCCTTTCTCTCAACTAGTTTTTTTTCTACTATGTCAGTGGCATTTCTAATCTCCCTTATTAGCATTAATATTTTGGAGAGGCTTCCGATCTAGATCGCTTGTTCTGAACTATTCAGTCATTTCTGATTCCGTGCCTTACTTCTGTTTAAGCACTAGTGAATGGAGTCTACATGATGTTCTTTTCTAATCAGTTCACTTGGGCCTACCGTTCCGCGAACATCACTGTGCTGAATTTCGTCTCTTCACTAGGGAAGGCAAAGATTGATCGTGATGATTTTTGTTTTCAAACAAGGTTTTTAATATGAGGTAGCTTCGTCCAACAGAGCTGACGACTACTGGCAGTGAAGACCACAATATTCCGAAACTTGACTGCTCACACTGACATCAGGGTTACTGCTAATTCAAGTAGCCATGCTCAATTGATCAAAAACGCAGCTCGCCCACCTGTATGATAGTCGCGGTGGAATGAAGGCATAGGATTTATCCTTGATGTTGACATGAAATTGGGAAGCGAGACAGCTCGAAATCCAAACGCTCCATAATAAACTTTCCAGATCTTGTTCATGTGAAGATGGTTTCCCATTTATCGTTAAAACGCAATACTCGTGGTACAATCTCAACTGACGTTTGACAAATGAGCTTAAATAGATACTTGTACAGTAGATTTAGTTACTGGTGGGATAAACGCACGTTCATCTGTGATATAAAAGGATAAAGAATACAGCTTTCGACGTTGATCAATCTCTGAAGGATGCGCCATACACTCGACTTCATTAAGCATAGCCAAAGGTGACTAAATCCATGTCTGGCCCCATATAATGACTCGCGGTGGCCTAACGATGTGTCAGATCAGTGGTGCTGTCTTTCCAAAGAAGTCTGGCAGCAATTCGTCGACTCCGGAGGAATGGAGAGCGCGGTGAGGTGGGATCGAAAAAGAGATCGAACCTGTATGTATTGCAAAGCATTTCTAACCATTGGTGCATACATGCATCCTTAGCTTTCGCATAGCTGCTTTCGAATCTTACCTGGATTTCTCAATGTGTGCGCTTTTTCAATCGTGTGGACATCTGATCTCATCACCTGGTCCCTTCGTTCTTTGCTTATTAGTGCAGATGCAAACAACGATTTCTTATTCACGACTGTCCTACATTTGGAGTTGGTCTTGGGATATAGAGGTTGATTTAGTGCACGTCTAAGGCGCCACCTGTGTTCCTCGTGTTTGTCGTCATTTTTTTGTTCGGTCTGTTCTTGTGTTAATCTGGATCCAGTTACGACAAGCATTCTCATCGGATGGATTCTTTCACACCATCCCACTATCCGAACAGCTTTGCTTATCCGTGTAGTCTGAAGATGTTTCGCTTTTGATCGTGTTTTTACACAGATACAAAGAATCACTAGCGTTTCTATTTGTTCCATTTCGTTTATACTAAGCTATCGACTTTAATGACTGATGACGAACAATATGTACTGCCTATCACTTATTTCATGGCAGGATGTTATGTGAAATACAACCGCAACGACGCTGAGATATTTGTAAAACTTCCACCGCAGGCTAAATTCGAACCCACAACTACTCTTTTCTGGGGGTGAATTTGTTACCCGCTGCACCACTGGCCCCCCCCCCCCCCCCCCCCCTTCCAGGATTCACCACCGTCTTGGTATCAAAGTCGCATGGTGGTAAATCTCCCTCTGATCCACAAGGGCTGCGACTGCCTGTGGTGGTGAAGACCTAGGAAAGACTTTGGCCACGCTGTCCTCGGAATTCCAGGGAACCACAGTGGCTTACCCAGCAAATCTCCAAAAATGGTGGTTATGCTGGGGCCCGCACAACTAGTGATGACGGGCCGTTCAAGTCTCAAGTATCAAGTAACGCTACCATCAACAAACACCCATGAGCTGGAATGTCAGCGTTTGCGCCTCAGGGTTTGATCGCGGGTTCGAACCCGGCTTGAGGTCCAAGTTTTGCAATTATCTCACTATCACTCTGGTTGTATTTCACATAACATCCTGCTGTGAAAAAACAATAAGCAGGAAATAAAAAGCTATACATTGCGATTTTGACTACAGTCCAAGCTTAGCTAGGCTTAACACCAATCTAAAGCTCTCCAGATCATTCCTGCTCATGGGTGATCGCTGTCTGCACCGTTAGTGTAAAAAGCTCGTTGAGAGAAAGGCAAGCAGAGGGCCTCTGTAGCGCAGTGGATGACACGTTAGAGTAGTCGTTGGTTTGAATCTGGGCAGAGGTCCGGGTTTTGCAAATATTTCAGCGTCATTATAGTAACGAATAGTTTCATATTCTAACACATAGCAACTAATAACTTATATAGCACTTTTCATATAGATATTTTATAATTCCACTTTAACTGATTGCAGTGTATGAAGACTGTTTAATTTCCAACTACTATAGGTCGTTTGTTCTGCAACTTCAGACCGCTGCTATTTGCGACGTGAAATTGCGCTGAAAATCGCGACTTGTTTTTGCTTCCTGTTGTTTAAGCGTTTGATATAAAGTGTTTATTCTCTATATCGTTGTTTAGGAAAGTATAAAAGAACGTAGTAAAAAGAAAAAGTAGAGAGTAGTAATAAAAATAGAAGCCTAGTAGAGAGTAGAGTATAGTAAGACATAAAGTACTTGTGGTCGAGAGCACTCCAAGTTCTGTTCGGTATTCTCTTTCGCCTACCGCCCAGTCCTTGTGGCCATTTCATCAATTTCACCACGATCAATGCTCATTTTTTGCTTTATTTTCTTTAGCCCGCTCTTCCAGTAGTCGTAAGATTGAATTTATTGCGGTTCATATTCTAGAATTTTCCTATATCTCTGTTTTTCAGGTCCTCTGTTGTGGAGTGGAGAAGAGCTTGCGCATGAAGTTGTCATCCAGTCCTCGCTAACTATCATGGCAGCAGCTGGCACTGTTGGGAACGATTATGTACACCATTTTTGGGTTAGTTTACCAATCTTTCGGCGTCTCTTACAGAATTCTTGTTATTTTCCCTTCAAATCATGTGTCCTCAGTTCTACGCCATCCTTCTCTTTTGTTTTAGATGTTGTGATTAAACCTCATTCAGGGCGAAAAACACCATGGATTTCATGTTTTATACGAGAATATGAAGCATGGAGAAGAATCAGTAAACGAAATAGGTCATTTTATTAAAGAACGTCTGGCTATGGAGGAAGAGTACGGGAAAATGTTTGCAAAGAGCATAAATCGAGTGAGTTACAAAAAAATCCTTCCTAGATTTTTCATTGGAAACTGCGTTAGACAATCGGACGCCTGTGTTTTGTGGCTATTACGAATAAGAACACACGACCGATTCTTTTTTCACGGGCCCACGATACGTCCATATGTTTCCTTCATTTATTTCATATAAGACAGATAAAGAATAAATGAATAAAGCTGTCAGTGTCTATCAATCCTTGAGGGATACGCCATACATTCAATTTCATTAAGCGTCGTTGGAGGTAATTGAATGCATATCTAGCCTTTGCAATGACTCGCCGTGGCCTACCGATGTATAGATCCAGTAAAGCAACTCGATTGTGTTATAAATGATGGAGAATGGCTCCTTCAATGTATTAATGGTGAAGGACGATGCACTGCGTGCAAAACGGCATAGTAATTTGTCTACCCACATGTTTTAATATGCGTGTATGAGAGGACTGATTTGAAGTACTGACAAAATGCAAGAAGCAATGATTACATAAGACAAGTGTTATTATGCACCGACTGGAATTGGTGGTATTCCACTAAACATTGCATTCCATCACCTTCCGTGTGACCATGGAATGCATGCAAAAACATGTACTCTTAGTGTAGAGAAGGTATCAATGCACTAGTTGTGTTAGTAAAACGATATAGTTGACTTGAACCTGCTCAAACCACACCGAGATAGGCACCGAAAATCACGACCTAGGGCCACCAGCACGTGACGCGAACAAAGCTGTGTCATCACATTCAAGAGACTGAAGCATTCCATTGCAGGACCAAATGAAGCTCATGAAGAGGACTATCAGTTGTTTTACACATAAAACGATAGTTTCCATGAGACGGAAAGAAATTCCTATACTCCTCATTCCTTGATGTGTTGATCATGGTGGTGTGGTGAACTCGGATTAATTAGCGTTTCACATCCAGGTAGTACCTGCCATTGAGTTGGCGGACGTTGGATCCTCTATAAAGCTTAATATGGCTTGGTTCGTGCTTGAATTTTTAGGCTGAAGACCTCTACCTATCTGGTCGAAGTTTGGAGAGTGGCTGTATTTTTTGATGACGTGCAGTGCGCCAGAGCTCTTGTTGTTGTTCTTGATCGGAGTTCACCGTGCTTGCTAGCTCGCGTCACTGGGTGTTGGACAAGATTACATGTACTAAAAATCATTCTCACTAACGTAGTTCTCTGGTGAGGCTTAGAGGCCTTTGATAGTTATGAATCAACAGGACCATCAGAACCTTCGAATTTGGTAAAGTTGTAGTATGGAGCTGCTTATTGTTTTGCTCAGTTCGTCGAATCTATATAAAGGAGAGAGAATATTCTCTAAGTTTGGATAATCTTGTTTTTTTACTTTTTGTGCCGTTATGTTTTACTGGTAGGTGTTCATGTTATCCTCTTCAGGTGTCCTTGTTTGTGTCGAATAATTCAGCATTGGAAAATGGGTGGTCACTAACAAAAGGGACATTGGAGCTGCTCTCTGAAATCCATGTCATGATGATAAAAAATCTTCAGGCAGGTCATCTAGCAATTGCTAGTGTTGTTTGTTAGTTCAAACCGTGATGAGTTTCAGGACCTTGCAAAAGAAGTCGCCAAGTATAAAGAAAGTCTTGCACGAGCGCGCAAAGATGCAAAACAACAAGACATTATCGACGCGGTGAATCTTATGCAAACTACAACCACATGTCTGCAGAAGGTGATTTTTACATTTCGGTCTCATTTTCATTGCATAATATTAGCACTACTTCTTTAAATATATAGTCATTTTGCAATCGTCACCTTTACTTACTCGGATACGTTTGGATGGACGGTTCGTCTTCAGTGGTTGTTCAGGCCCTAGCATAATCTCCATTTTCGGAGTTTTGCTGGATTAGCAATTGTGGTTCCCTGGAGTACCGAGGACAGCCTGGCCAAGGTCTGCCCAGGATCCTCACCTTCTAGGTAACCTAAAAGGCGATTACATTGTGATTACACTACAGCTTCAGCTTAACTGTGTCCAATGCCGATTTTTGCCCTCCAGGTCAATCCCGTTAACAGGTGATTGCTGATAGCACCTATAAGTTAAAAATACTACTGAGAGAAAGGCAAAACGAAGGACTTGTATGGTGTGATGGTAACGCGTTACCTCCCGGAAAGGATAATGACGTGTTCGATTCCCACCGTAGACACCTACTGGCCGGAGTTTTGTAAACATTTCAGCATCATCGTGGTTATATAGTCATTGTTTCCGACACTAATAAAGAGGTTTTTTTCATATTTGTAAAAGCGCCTGTTCCAGTCGAAAGAAACTTACTTTTCACGGTGTGCAGAGCTAGAGAAACTAAAAAAAGATCCGAACATAAACCCAAAGGAACTCTCTAAGGTATGTGGGTTTTTTACGTTCATTATCTTTTATTTAATTTTTTTTCGGCACAGATTTTACTTTATCTTGTTACTATCCATTTAGGAGTAAGTTAGAGACGAAATATTTGAATCATTCTCCGTCATTTTTTTACGTCTTTCTCTTTTAGTTAAGGTATTTGCGTGGTGAGGAATGGTTTAGGGTTTCAGGTAGAGTCGAAAATGTTGAAGTCTAGAGAAGAGTACCGCTCATATGTCGAGAAGTACGAATTAGTGCGTCTAAATTTTGAGGAGAAAATGGAGCGAGCCTGTAAAATGTTCCAGTCACATGACAGGTAAATATAGCCGGTTTTTGCGTTTTTAAATTCCATCCTTTGTCATACCGCTTTTTCGAATGTAGGGTTGTACAATTATTTAAAGGTCGCACTTCGCTGCACTTCAACAATTCTTAATTATGTATGCAGTACATCAACAAGAAGCGACTACTGCTGCCCAACAAGTTCGTGGTTCTGCCTTTCATGCATGCCCGTTGCAATTTATTATACCTTAGAAAAAATTTAATAGGTGTCTGGTCAGTTCCGCGAATCTTTGCAAATGTTGAACGTGGACGAAATGATGGCACGATTCGTCCATGAGAAAGGCACCGGGTCTGAAAGACCACGTAAGAAATTGTTAAGTATATCACGGTAACTCATTAAATGCTGCAACTTTGAGGCATTTGCCTTCTTGAGGTGTGTTGCGGAGGAACACTGTAATTTGGTCACTCTATGTAAACACCTTTCAGATTAGCCGTTTTTTATTGCGTGCTAAGTGCAATCTTTCGAGTTGCTTAGTGCATCAGAATTGAGCATAAATAGGGATTTGAATCAGGCCTTGAGGTTTATATACGGTGGTAATAGACCTTTTCTAATGCTCACAGGTGACCATTTTAAAGAAATGTATGGCAGCAGCAAAACGGAAGAATCGAGATTTGTGCAATCTTCTTTGACCAGAAGTAAACAGTACGAGAGAGTCTTCGGTTTTCGTTTTCTAGAAGCAGCTGTATTCGAGGAACCGTCGGAAACATATGCAATTCTTGATGAAGATGTGCATCGTCTTCAAATTGGCTCCATACCGTCTTTGAGCAATGGTTCGGAGATTATCAGTTTAAATCCTACTATTCCTACTGCGGACGAATTACTGTCTTTAGAACAGTTAAATGCTTGTACCGGGAGTAGGGAGGTTAGTGGGAAGTCATGATTAATTAGTTTACTCGTTGTGGAAATATGCTTTATTATAGTTTTTAATCTTCATTAGGTTCCTTAACGTTGTGTACACGTTGTGGCAGCAGGCTGAGCATGATTCATATTTACTTTTTTTGCTTCCTAAAAAGATTATTTATGTTTTTTCATGAAATATTTAGACACAACCCTCTCCGACTGCATCGCATAGCAGCGATTCTACAACCGGTGGATTGTCAACTGCAACGCCTCATCCTTTTTCATCTTCTGTAGGAGGTACTGGTACAAGCAGTCGACAAAAACTGGCTCTCTTCCTCCCGAAAAGGAAAAAAACTCTGTCACAAAGCAGTGCTAATGAAGAACATGAAGTAACAGGTGGTGAGTGTTATTTTTTATCATTTTTTCACTCTTCACCAGATGTTTTTTTTCTAGAGGCAGTATGCTTTATCATTGCTTTAATATATGCCGCTTTGGTTACGGGTTTTCTAACCTTGGTAATTAAAGAATAAAAAGGGTAAAGCTGTCGACGTTGATCATTCCCTTAGGGATGCGCCATGCATTCGACTTCATTAAGCGTCGTTTGGAAGTGATTGATTGCATACCTCTCCTTTGCAATGACTCACGGTGGCCTACCGATGTGTCGAGCCAGTGCTGCTATCATCCCGGACAAGTATGGTACCAGTTTGTCGGTTTCAGATGGATGGAAGGCTTGATGAGCCTGAGGCGCGAGGATCGATCCAATACGTATTGCAAGGTCCCTCCGACCGCCGCGTCACACGCACCCCATTTGGTAACTAGTTGTGAAAATAAATGTGGTTTTTATTCTAGATGATGAGTAATTAAATGTTGTAGTGTTTTGACCGCCAGGAATGCATTTTAGCAAATACTTGGGGCACATATAGCGCATTGGTTAGAGGGGCCCTACAACACACTCGCCAAGCCTTCCACCCTCCGGAGGCGAGAAATCATTACCAAACTTGTCAGGGAGGATGGCAGCACTGACGTGATGCTTCAGTAGGGCACCGTAAGTTATGGCTTGGGCCAAATATGCATTCGTTCGGCTTTAATTATGCTTAGTGAAGTAGGATACATATTATCTCCGTCCTTCTTGGGATTGATCTGTGGCGAACGTTTTTGCGCTTTTTTTAACTGGGGACCGTTTAGTTCTATAACTGATTTCATGCATTATTCACTTTTATTTCATTTCATTTTTGAAACTGTTTTTACTTATGAAAATGCCTTCTGTAAATTTTCGAGATAGGTGAAGCCTGCACTGACTCAACAAGATTCCCGTGCTCTTAAAACCTTCAAACTCTGTCATGTTAACTTTCATAGTGCTGAGATATTTGCAAAACTTCGGACCGCAGGTGTCTGCGGTGGGGAACGAACGCGCTATTATCCTTTCCGAAGAGTAACACGTTCACCATCACACTATGTGGGTCCTTCGTTTCGTCTGTCTCTCAGCTAGTTCTATCGATCACAGCCATCAGCAATCATCCGTCAACGGGATTGATCTTGGGAGTCCAAATCGGCATCGAAGCCAGTCAAGCTGAAGGTGTAGTTATAATCACAATCTTAAGGCTGCGAAATAGAACTTCCATAGTGCTGACATATTTGCAAAGCGAAATGAAGTACCCGCATGGTGTCGTGGTGAAGGCATTACTCCCCAGAAAGGATAATAGCGCATTCGTTCCCCACCGCAAACACCTGCGGTCCGGAGTTTTGCAAATATCTCAGCACTATGAAAGTTATATTTTGCAACCTACCCTGTCATTAAAAAGAATGCGCAGTCAATAAAAAGGTTAAGCTTTTCATGTTGTTCAAGATCTGCAGACCCCCAACGTTGACGGAATCACCGTAATTGTGATTTCTGGAAGTATTTCCGGGTTTTTCTTATGAATACATTTGATGTAAATTCATATTTCTGGATACGCACTAAGTTTCACGAGTTAGTTCAGTTTAGACGTTAGGTAAGTAAATTTATTTTAGAGAAAATGCTAACGAGGAGCAGGAGTGTGCTACTACTTAGTCTCACTTCAATGATTTTTCCTTTTTGGCAATTTTGCTCCATCCATCGATTAGTCTTGTGTACGTGTTACTACCGCTATCTTTCCAAACCTGTTCCAGGCATCCAAATTTGTTTCACTTTTGTTTAAATTTTAAGTTTATTATGCAGTCCAGATGGCGGTATTTCACAGACATCACTGGACGTAGTAATGAATGTTTGAAAGCTAGTAAGTTCCTGGGATGTAAATTGTCGTAGTGTCCAACGGGTTTGTTTCTTATGTCAACCGTTGTTTCCTCGAATTGCTTTTAAAGTGCTACGTTGCACCAGTACTAGTCGAACGTACTCGTCGGTATTTTAATGATGAGTGGTCCTTATAAAGCATGGCCCCTAGTACAATAATTTCATCGTTTTGGACTAATATGCCATCAAAAATAATCCTGTATTTCATGGAAATTTTTTCAGTTCAGCTGCAGTCTAATGTTTCCACATCTTCAGTTTCCTTGGCATTCATCAGACCTAAATAATGCTTCATGTTACGAAACACATAGCGTAGCAGCTAGCCAGTTAATTCCATTACTAAGTCGTCGTTACGCTTTTTTCGTGATGTTGTCTAAACAAACATACGTTTGGTAGTTTTGGTAGAGCACTGCCGAGGCCGAGAATATCAGTTTATTGAGCTCTTTCCTTCACTGCCTTGACTTCGCTGCTAGGTAACGATTTTGTGGTTGTCGAAATATTGCATAACTCATAATGGATCCTAGTATAGTAAAACGGGAAAGTGAGAATGGCTTGTAATGACGTCTAGCGCTCTCCAAGGATGGCACCACTCCGATTTTCAGAACTGGATATGGTCCACCTTTATCTTCATATTGATGAAGCTTCGGCTGATGTTATGATGTTTTTTTTCTGCCTCCTCACACCAGTTTTCATTACTGTTTTCTTTTGTTTACGGTCCTAATTTACTTCTTTTTTAGACTTTCAAAGCTCAAATTTGTTTTGTCTATCCGCTACTTATTGAGCCTCATCCTGATTTACAGTGTCGAGTGTGAGAACATTGAAGTCAACAGTGATAAAACAAGATCTGGTAAATTTTATTATGGTGTTGTTTACTATAAGATTCCTATTTTCAACATCGAATAATGCGATTTTGCATATGTCAGTTGCCACGAGTGATCCTAATCGCCTTTTATGACGGTTTCTAAAAGCTTCTCTCCGTTCACACCACTTTAGTTTATGGATTCCTCTGTCGTATCCTTTGGACGTCCTACTGAAGGTATTCTCAGCATTAAATTGGTGATTATGACATTGTAGATGGTGTGATCTTCCATGTGATAGCTTTGCAATTGCACGTTGAAGGTGTGTGGTCTCATCTTCGCTGTAGCTCGCTGCTGGTGCGCATACGCAAGACTAGATAGTTACATAAATTCCAATTTATTTTGTCCTTATTGTTTTTGTCATTCCGGTTGGTAGCTGTATTTGAGGGTTGGATCCCATGGAATAAAAATGAACACGCCTCCCTCATTATGGTTTGGAATTCCATTTCGAGACGTGGAGGCCCACGCATTTTCGTATGCGAGATGGCAATTTGGCACAGTGATTCCAGTTTGTTGTAACATATACTATCGCAAGGAGCTATGGAACTGAATAAAATTTGTTTAACTTTTCTTTCGCAGTTACAAATCTTCGGCAGGAAACATTTCGGAGTACATCGCATTTATTGCACTATGTAGGAAATCGCAACATCAGCATTCCTTTAAACTCGGTGTTGGTCAATAATTCACTGTTTTCTTGGTGAGTAAGCAGGAGGCTGTTACGATAGCATTTATTTATTCATAATAGCTGACTTTTCAGTCGTTTCACCCTCTGGAGAACCTGGAAAAGTCAAATTGACTGGCAATATACTCAGTCAAAAATTTTCGTAACCTCAACAGATAGAACTTGAAACACAATTTTTCGTCCGCGTGGTAAACAGCTTCTCTTAAACAGCCACTTTTTTGTTCTTTGTAAGTCTCCCAGTTATTGTTGGAGACCAGTTGAACAGAGTCCCACATAAGTGAGGGATTTGCCTGGCTTAAAAAATCAGCCTGAGGTGTGGCGCGAACTCATGCATGATCACAAGGCACTTCACTCTGTGATTCATTTTTGAATTTTTGGAATTCATTTGAAACACTTAAAGAGGACTGATGTGTCGGGCTCCTGTGCGAGGATAGTGACTTTTGCTTTGAACTCTTTTTCGTTATGCCTTAATGTACAGTGCGTTATGGAATTTTACTTGACTTTAAGTTTCGCAAGTAGGTGCCCTTTTATACGGACGCAGAACGGTCTACCTGTTTAGCCAACGTATTTTCCCCGCACACAATATGCTAAACATACCGAGCCCGAACATTGATCGGCTCTACTGTTAGAGCAAATTATGTAATTGTATGTTCCGAATAAACGGTAATACAAATGGTTACGAACTAGCTGGTGGGGAGTCAGTTATTATGAATGAATAAGTACTCTATGTAGTAGTAACGTACTCTTGTTCATCAAGAAGACGGTGAATTATTGCGCCATATTTGGAATTCTTGTTTTACCAACTTTAAAATCTTTTGGATATAAAGCCTGGTAAAAGTAAATCTTACACTTTTATTTCACGGTTTAAACTTTACGCAGGATATAGTGAAGAAAACCTAGTTTCTTGTTTATAATAGTTTTATGTACTGGTAAATAGATAGTAACAAGGTGTGGAGGCATGTAAGAAAGTGGGCGCGAGTTTGATAGAATGAGAATTTTGCATAAGTGGCTCGTTTTGATGACTTGTCATTGCTTTATTTCCCTTGAGTGTAGAGAACCATTGCTGAGCCGTTCCTATGCTTTCACATTTACTGTTTCTAGTGGATGCGAACGTTTGCCATTATGTGACTTGGATTTGAATTGAGATCATAGCGATTCAAAACTGGTTAGCTCATAACAGCGTTCCGAATGAGAATTTCTTTCTTCTTAGCATGGGTGTGAGATCGACATCATCGCAACTGATCAAAGTTCAACACCTATGAAAACCATTCACACATTATAAGATGATAAACTCTCGACACAAGGGACATTTATAGTTTTCTAAACATATTCGCTCCCGTTTTGCTGGAGAGCAACAGTGGCTATCTAAGGATTAATCACGCTTTTCTTCTGTTGCAAGTGCACTTAGGAAGTGTTATTGCACCTGCTATTCTTCATTATAGGTTTCTAGTTTTGATTAGTATTGTTCGTCAACACAGTTTGTTTGATTAGCTTCACCAATCCCAATTATTCATAAAAGTGGATTGATGATCGGGAAACCGGGTTCTTCGTAACTGTAATGGGATTGGTGACCGTTTCAATGCTGACAACGTAATGTAGTGGAAAGTAGATGAATGAAGGTATTGTTCGAGGGGTTTCAGTTTCTTTGAAAGACGATAGAACTTTGGAACCAATTGGACATATTAGCGCTTCTGAATGTTTGAATATTATCTGGTGAACTACTCTTAATTTATATGTTATGTAGACCTTCGAAGCTTGAAGTTTGTGTAAAGGTTTTAATGACTACATTAGAGTTCGGTGTCGGCTATTTTAGGAAACGAAGACTTAAGCTACCTCATTCACCTATTTGAATCAAGTCAAGAATTTAGGTTCTGGTTTATCTTCCCTTTTTTTCTGTAAAACGACAGTCCGAATCTGCAATATTTGGTGCGTACATCAAATAAAACAAGGTTTTCTTACATTGTGGCTTTCCGAGTTATACATAACTCTGGTTACAAATTTTCCAAGTGTGTTTCTGGATGAAAAAGGGCAACCAAAAGTTTTTTTAAAGACCATACCAGTAGTACTTGCAGGTCTCGTGTATATTTATTGCGTTATAGGTTTGTTCAAGTTCCGACAAAACAGGCGATCGAAAAAGTCAATGTTAGACATTAATACCACTGCGGAGAAAAGCGATGTGATTAGGTACATTTCTCGTTTATGCTTCACTTATGTTGCCATATTATTTGGAAGTAGTTTCATGTTCAGAAAAGTATACCGCAAGCCTTAAGTAAAACATTATTACCTTCGCCACCGTTTTGTTCGCATCGGAATCTTTTCTGATTTATGCTAACTGGTTTATAAACCTCTTATTCGTATTATTTTGCTCTTTTTTCAAATTCGTTTAAATCAGTACTTAAGTAGCTTACAGAAATACTTTGCTTACAATATTAAAAGTTTGTCTCTTTCTTTCAACTTGTGGCACACAAACGTTTGAAGAATTAGCGAGTTAATTTGACGAAAGGCTTGTTTTTTGTTCGACTTTTATACAGACAATTCTGTACACCCCTGAAGGAAAGGACGAATGCTTCGTATTTTGTGATTTAGAGCTTATCTGACAATTTTTCTTACTGTAGGGTTACCACATGTTCAATTGAAGTTCCTATGTTTTGGGGACAACCAGTACATCATCTACTTGGTGCTTTTTCTTATCTTAATTTGTCTGGTGAAAAAACATGACTCTTTAGAGATCTTCTTTTAGATAATTCTTTTTCTTTTTTTGCCTTTACAAGTTTACTTCCAGTTCCAAAATGCAGGTGGTTGAATATTTTAAACTAGTAAAGTTCTTTCTAGCAGTGGTGAAGAATTCGAGGGATTAGTTCTCAGATTGTTTGTTTCTGATCGGAAATTTTAGTGTAGAGATGCTCTTGACCTCTATTAATACGAAATTTTGGATTGTAGCAGATATGAGCAAAATTTAGAACCCAAGTTGGGCTTTGAATCCGCGATTACTCTTACCGGGTGCTCGTGCTAACAGAGGCTCTTGCTTTGCATTTGTCTCGGTCTTGTTTTTAATCTATCGGTACTGTAAACAGTTGACTCTCAACGGGAATTATCCGGGGTGCCTAAATAGGCATTAAACACTGTTAAGCTGTAGCTGAAGTCGAAATGACAGTGTTTTTGCTTTTATTTCTTTATTCGCTGCATCCTACATCGGCATTAGACACTGTTGAGCTGTACATGCAGTCCAAATGAAAACCTTTCGGCTTCTACTTTTTTTATTTGCTGCTTATTCTTTTTTCATGTCATGGTACGATGTGTAATGCAATCACAGTGATGCTGAAATGTAATCGAAAGTCGGAAGCTAAGTGAGCCTACAATTAACCTTTATGTGGACTCACCTGCTATCCAGTACACCTGGTTCAAAACCCAAGTGAGGTTCCGAATTTTGAACATATCTCTGCATCGTTGTAATATTAAACATCGCACCCTGCCGTGAAGAAGGAATAGAAAAGAGAAGAGAATAAGGATAAAATAGAACTTAAAACGTAGCAGCTTTATCCAAGTGAACAATTCTACTTACATGGATTGAATTATTTCCATATCATTTCTCTGTTATATCGTTGGTTACATTCATCTTTCGTCTAGTCAGATTACAAAGGTGTTTTCAGTACCGATGATGTGCACAGTACGACAAGTAGTACTAAAAGCGATGACAAAGTGAGTTTCTAATAAAGATCAAAATGTATCGAAAAAGGTCAAACAAATTTGTCTCAAGTTCGAAATAGTTATTTGAACTGTTCATAAGCAGTAGGACATTGTATTTTTCTTACAACATAAATGGTAAGCTGAACTGAGCTTTTCTGAATCCAATTTTACGACATTTAGCGCACCAACGGCTCAGTTAACCTCCTTGATTTACCTCTAGCTCCACCTCCACCAGCCAGCGTTGACGATGAAGGTTATACGATAAGAGAAAAAGAAAATGACAAAGAGGATACAAATTGGTCATCATGTAGTAGCAGTGATGAGGTGGGGCAGTGAATTTCCATTAAAAACTGTAAAATTATTTTAGTAGGGCGATAACACGCATATTTAAATTTTCTGGGATTTATGTGCTCTATAAAATGGGCTGAAGTATCTATGCTGGAGGTAAAATACATGGGAATAAAGCGTTCGACTTTGAATAATCCCTAAGGGATCAACCATGTATTCGACTTCATTAGGCATCGTTAGAGGTGACCGAATGCATATTTGACCTGTGCAGTAACTTGCGATGGCCCACTAATGTATCAATTCTGTGCTGCTATTTTTCTATACCACTCTGGTGCCAACTTGCCGACGCGGAAAAATAGACTTGGTGAGCCTTGTGGCATCTATCGAACTAGCGACGATGTGTATATCGCAGAGCATCCTCTGGCCACTACGCTACACGCACACAGTGCACTAATTTCATCTAACGGACTGTTTATTGAATAACAGACATGAACGAGTACTAGGACGTTCAAAAATTCATTTGCTTTCATCGTAAAGAATTGTATCAACTAGGTACTAATTTATTGAAATACTATCGTGAATTGGCACATAATACTTATTATTATTATTCGATGGTGAAAGGATTATGTATTTGCTATGCTAAGGGAATAATTCATATTCAGATGAGAGCTTCTTTACGTTATTCATAGCCAAGGTATTCAATGAGCACGTTAGTTCGGTTTCTCTGTAGAACTTGTGTTCTTCTGTTTCAGGACGAGAATACACTACAACGTTCGAAAATACGAAGTTTAACGATAAGACCGGTGGATTCAACACGGCCTCTAAATGCGTCAGTGGATGAATTACGCGATGCTATAGGGCATATTAGTATTTGTAGGAGCAGTACATTTGATAAGGTGGGCAAATTTCTGAAAGACCTGTGAAGATTTCTACGTTCGTTATGAGCGCTAATCGAGCCGATTTTTTGCTGGAATCTTGAGATAGCCGTGCTAGAGCGTTCTCACATGGATTGGAGGGAGAGAGGTGTTTCCAGACAACTCTGGTACCACTTTTTCTACTGCAGAGTATTGAGAGACTTGTTGAGCCCAAGACGGTGTTGATCTTCCACCATGCTTCTGGCGAACGATGTCACTGCTTTTGCGCTACTCGATCATCAATTGGACCTTAATTGAGTTAATTTTCGATAAATATTGAAGTGTGGATATGCTAAAGTTTAACTTTGTTTGTATACTTTTTCCTTTTTTCATTTTAGGTACGGCTAGCGTTTTAGTTTTAAAATTTAAAGGGTTTCACTTCACTTTTTCAACGATAATGGATAGAGTTCTCAACGTTGATCAATCCCTAAGGGATGCACCAAGCATTCGACTTCACTAAGCATCGTTGGAGGTGACTGAATGCATATCTGGCCTATACACTGATTAGCGGTGGCCTAACGATGTTTTAAATCAATGCTGCTATTCTCCAGAGAAGTCGGATACAAATTTGCTGACTTTGGTGTGATGGAATGTTTGACGAACCCACCCAGAACCTCGAATCGAACTAACGTACACATGTGCATCGCAGTGGTGCACTTCTAGCCACTGTAATACATGCGTCTCTTATTTCTTTATTCCCCCATGTATACGTTGATTCTCTAACAATTTCAATTGAGTTTGATAGATTTGTGCCATTAACGCAATTTCTTTCTAAACATGGGCTTTAAAGCTTTTCGATTATTCTTCCTTATTTACAAGCAGCGGAAAAGGAAATTTCCAGGAGTGATAATGACAAAATGGGAGTTTTCCTGAAGATAAAAGAGCATTTCAGGATCCTTGGTCTATCGGTTCCAGTCGCCCACCCATGTTTTCACAGTCGTTGACCGGTGCTAGCCTCAAACCACTACGTCCGTGTCATACGGCTGATGGTCGATACAGATCGAACTTTAGCGGTACAATTTTGTCTAATTCTGCAACTGTTGTGTCAATATTATTCAGGTTTATTGGTTTTTGAACACTTTCTTGAGACCAGATATAAAAGTCTTCATAAAAAACGTTTATTATAGAATTGTTTCTTTTCTGGTTCTTGACAGATTTAATAAATATATACTCGACTTCTTTATTCCTTATAAGTTATAAGTGAGATCCTTTATAATTCTAAGTTTGTATCATTTGATGGTCACTTTGGTTCACTTCAGTCTATCGAATTTAATATGTCATTCCGTTTTACAGAGTCAGAGTTCGGTCGAAGCAATGCTCCTCTGAATTTTTCTGCTTCTATGGGTCCTGTAACTGGTATAGCGCGAGCACGACCGCGAAGCAACACTCCCACTTATAATTCTGCTTTTGGTGTGAGCAATGTTTTGCAGAAGGTATTGATTCCAAAGAATCCCTTAGTATGGCTTACTTTTTTCGCGGTCATTTGTTGCCTTTTGAAGCAATGAGGAAACAGGTGACATAATTTTGCACTGTAAACACTTTTTGGCTCTTGTTGTTCCTAAAATCTACCGTACGGCTATTTTTGGTTAATAGTTATTGATTGTTTTTAGACAAAAGTCATTGTAATTTTCTTCGTATTTTTGTTGAGCAAACACGAGGTGTTAATATTCTTTGTTCACGATTAAGTTGACGTTTCGGCGGATTTCGCCTTCCTCAGAGCCGCTTCCTATGAGGTTTCCGCCGAAACGTCAGCTTAATCGTGAACAAAGAATATTAACACCTCGCGTTTGCTCAACAAAAATACGAAGAAAATTACTTGATCAATGCCGAGGTTAATAGAAAGTCGGTCGTGGCAGTTACTGCAAAAAGTCATTGTTCCTTCTTTCTTCGCTTCCGCTATGTTCTATTTGTATCTTTGAGTGAAAAGCGTTACGTTTTTGTAGGAATCCTCGGGTTCAGTAGAATGGGGATCATCGTTTGCGGTAAACAGTAATGACACTTCTATAGGAGAATCATCGTTTAATATTTCCCAATCTACAGCAAATCTCATGCAGGTAATTCTACAGTTTTTGGCACATTTTGTATTTTGGGTTGCCTTTTTAAATCTTTTCCTGTTTTTCTTCCTTTTTGTTAGTTGCTAAATGAAGTGATATTGAATGGTTTAGAACGTAAGAAGAGGTTTTGCACTCTTGTTCCAGCTCAGATGTATTCATAGATCATAGTCGTCTCTCCCAGAATGATAATGATAATAGGAGGCGAACCATCAATACCAACTGTGCAAAGAGTTTCTGAATCGTTTTTATAACAATACTCATCTATCTACTTTTATTTTTTTTATTCATTGCCAGTTTTTTAAACGCGTACTCTTCTATTTTGTTGATGTTTAGGCCACCATTAGTGAACATCGTGTGCCAATTGCAATGGCGATCAACGAATATTCTCACGTTTGGTTTAAAAGTGCCAATGTGAATGAGTGAGTATCCTTTATTCTGTTTTCTTACTTTTATGAAAACCTCCATAATTTCCACCGACCTCACTTTAAGTGACCTCATTGATTAACTCCTATTATCTTAGTACAAATTTGCGTCCAGTTCATTCCAGTACCGTAGTAAATATCTCCTATTATATCGAGATGAAGAGTTGAGCTCATTTTACTTCAGAGTTATGCGATTAACATGTTTCATCTGTCATATTTGTTCAATAGGCTTAATTGGTTGCTCCAGGCGTGTAACAAGGACGTTTGGAACAGTACTGATCTCATTTCCTGCCTCATCACTTCCCTTACTAACCGATATGCATTCTGATATTGAACCACTTCAGTTTACTCTCATTGACGCTGAAATGGTGAAATCGGTCCTTCCTAATAAACAAGTGAGTTTCCTCATCGGGTTAACGTGGCTAGTGTTTTGGTTATTATAGAAGGAAATATGCTGATTTCAGCTTCTACTTCCGCGCTCTGTACGGTCACAGCATGATCCAAACTACTGTTACCAACTCGATCGTCTTGGGTTAGCTAATTGGTTACTTACACAGCACAAAGAGAAGCCAGCAGCAGCATTTTTCAATGCCGAGGTAGGCATTTCGAATTTGCAAACATGTATCTATAGATATATATATATATGCACGCAATGTATGTACACGTACATGTATCTATGTATATACATTCATGTAGGTATATATATATATATATATATATATATATATATGTATACGTATGTATACATATATTTCGCTATTCTTTATGGATGTCAATTAATGCTAGTCCAATCGATTCTCCCTAGAATCCTTGGACAGTCATGGTATGGTGCATCCAGTTCTTCACAATAGGCAGTAGCCAGTCCTTGTGGATCGGAGGGAGCTCTTTCCAGACAAAATACACCATTTTTTTCGAACCCGGAGGTGTGGTGGCGTACACAGTGATAGAAATATAATTAGAACAGCTAGTTATTAGCTGGACTAACTACTTGCTTTGTATGAGTAGACCACGCAGGACTTTTCGTGCGTTGTTACAGAACACAATTTCAAGCTTGTTTTGTAACCGTTTATGTGGAATAACAGTGGTGCAATATTAACGGTGTGGCGATATACAGAAGAGTGAAGGATTCCAGAGTCATTACCAAAAAGGATACTGTAACCGTCCCGGTAAAGAGAACTCGCAAAGAGAGAGAGAGAGAGCTATGGAGAGAATTGTGGAAAAACTATACTTAGAGCTGACCGTGCAGCTTGTATTCATCTTAGAATAAGCGGAGTTTGACAAAAGGAACTAGGTCCAATGCTGAGAGGGAGATTTTACAATGTTTATGAAGATTACAAAAGCTTTTACAGGAAGTGCATGTGATAACGATGCAGTGGCTTATATAAACAGTAAATTGGGACGCCAGATGCCGAGGAGTCCGGCAACTGCTTCTTAATAGGACTACTCGGTATCTTGGTCAACAATACGAACAAAATTGTGGGAGTCTTCCTTGTAACGGAACAAGGAGTAGGCTATACAAATGCCCATGACCTTTTAGAGTATCTGGATATGATCTGTTTCACTCATTGAGATTCTTTCAAGTTTCTTGCGCACTTATGTGGTTTTGTAAAAAGTTCATGGAGCGCGCATTGTAGGCTGACCGAGTAATGCAGAAACACCGTGCATTTGCGCAAGAGCATCCCACTTGTAACAATGTGCATATTGGAAATAGTGTTAAGTATTGTTCGCCAGCTCGTAAGAGGAGCTGTGTCGGACTGCCAACGTCGAAGTGCAGCCCCAACGGATAGGATTATTGGTGATGTGCTAGAGGGAAAGGTACGGTCTGGTATAGTTTTTGTTGGTTCCAAAGAGATTTGTATGAGACCATTCATTATCGACTATGTTTCATTGGAAATTTGGCTCATATCTTAATCAGAGCAGATCAGAGTGTTGTACTTACAAAAATCTCGTGGATATTTTCATGTTCTTTCCTTTTTGTATGTTTCCTCAAGGAGTTCGTGTTCCGCAAACGTTAGGAGTCCACTTTTGGTTAAAACGATCGCGCTCGTCATAGAGCTTCGAAGAGCTTTCTGCCGAATGTAATACTCTTACATCGACTCTTTTTTGGCGCCACACACAATTTACTAGGACAAAAGTTATACTGAACATATTGAACTCATTGTATATGGCTTATTGTCCTACTTTCTCACGATGGTTGGAATTCTTCTCCACTCTGTGGTTAATTATGTAATCATCAGGCGAAGAAGTCGGTGATCTGATCCGTTGTAAAAGGTGAAATGACACTAATATTAAATCGTTTCCTTTTTCTGTTGATAACGATGTGGTCGATTTATGTTTAAGTGGTACTCCTCGAAGATTCCCATACTCAAGTGCTATAGTTTTCTTTTTGCAAAAATAAAATTTTAATGGTCAAAGAAGGAGAGAAGTATTCCCATATGATCGTCATATCCACTATGGAGTCCTGGTCCAAATTTTCGGATTCTGTATTCCTGTTCTTGTATCTTTCTTATTTCTACGTTAATGTCTCTGTAGAAATTCTTTGGATTGTGATCTCACTGCGAATTTAAATTTTGATACACCGTATCGATTTTCTTATCATCAAGTGTTGATTTTGTTAATTTGTAGTTTATGGTACAGATTTCTATCTTACAAATGAGTTGTAAGAAAGGAGACTAAATTTCATAAAGTTTGAGTAAGCGAAGAGCACTACAAAGCCAAAGTTTATAGTACTGAGCAGTGAAGCTGTCTCACTAGTGAAAACAAGGTGTTTTATTCATCCCGAGATATCGTTACAGCTTTCCTAAATCTCCACCCTATTTAGTCAACAGTCTTTGCGGCGTTGTGTTTTCCATTCCTAACCCATTCACTTTTGACACGCTTACTCAGTTACTCACTGGCTTCGCCTGCATGAAGAACGAGAGAATGCTCATACTTCCCAATTTTTGCAGTTCTTTTCTAAGTGTGTTCATGGCGAACTTCCCCAAATGAACATGGGGCGTATTTTTTGATGGCGTTTCTTCATCTTGTTCTATTGCCAGGTTTCACATCCGCATGCATACAACTGTCAGGTCGTTCATATCACGATTTCTTGAGCTTCATTTGCTATTTCTTAATGTGCTTAATTCTCTAGTTTATAGTGGGAATAGGTGGCACATTTTAAATTCCTACCCCAAAATTTGATCATTCAGGTAGTTCGGTACGAACTTTGCGATGATGAACGAGTAACCCAACCACCTCTGTTGATGACAACTTACTGGAAGTGTGAGGAAGACCATACAGGTGAGTCGTAACACTGAATTTAGCTTATTGGTACGCTTTGTTACTGTTTGAGCAGTCCAATTAACCTACGTGCTCATTGAATTGCATCAAAGGGTAAATCCATGGTGTTTTTAACTGTAGAATTTTAATATGTAGTTTTAATCGAATTACTTCTGCATTTTTACTGGCTTATTTTGTTAGATGTGTTTCGTTCATTCATCATAGAATTCGTTATTTGACATGCGTGCGATCAATGTATTCCTAAGGATTTTCGTTTATATATTTGGTTCTTTGTACTTTCGCATTTTAAGATGTTCGAATAGACTACCACTTGAATACTGAATGTTCAATAACGGCACCATTATTGAATTTGACTTTCAACACAAAATTATCCGGAAACGTAAACAATGTAACATCTGAACCTCCTGCGATTTGGTTAGTTATGTTTTTAAACCTTTATTTTTACAATTGTATTGCGTAGCAGTACAGTCGGTGAGGAAGTAGATTACTCAGAAGAGGTAAAGTCTTTCTTCAGGTCTGCTGAAAATAGTTCATTAACCTGGATAGTGACTGAGTTATCAAGATACGGTGATTGTGCCGGTTCACTTAAGGCAAGGGCGCATCTGGCCTCTGACGGGCCATCTAACGCAGCTCATGCGCATGTTCAATTTCAGGTAAAATGAATATTTTTGGGCTGTATTTTTTGTTTCTATGGCTTAAACGAAGTGTCATTTTAATGTTACAGTGCTCAGACGCCACGATTTCTGGTGTGAACGTCGCACTTATGTCTTCGGATACATATCACATTTCAATGGTACGACGTAAAGTGATGGCTGGAAAGTATTTTTGTGAACCTGAGATCAGGAAGTAACATTTTCGCCGATGCACATTTACTAACTAGTTTTCGATTGTTGCCATTTTTTGCCTGAATTTTGTCATGTTTTAAAAATAGATGCCGTGACGAGAAAATGTGTCACACTTTTCTCCATCGTTCCTACTTTTCGTTCCTTTTCTGTTTCCTCTCCGATAGTCATATTTGCAGACGAGTAGCTCAGTATATTACACTCAAATCCAACATGGTGCTTCATCAATTTATATGGTACATGTTATCTGAAACTGATTGGATCGGGCCCTATATGTATTAAATTTTCGGATTCACTGCACTTGTTTTTAGAATTGCATGAGTGTCAATGACAGTGCCTTTTAAAGAAGATCGGTACCTCATCAGAAAGGTGCCAATCGTTCGAGGCGGATCTACATGGCACTGTAAACATACGAACATGCACAGTTGATTAACTCATAAAGTCTTCTCTAAGTGGTGTGCTTATCACTGTTCTTTGATTGAACGTATGTCCACATCTTGAGAATAGACTACCTCAAAGTTAATGGTTTGATATATCGAGAATTCACTTAAATATAGGCTCTTTCAATAAGAATTCTCTTCTGCTATGGTTTCGGTGAATGTATATTGTGTGGGTGCTGTAGATATGGGCATATGTTACTTCAACAACTTGCAACTCTCATGTCTTTAAACTGGTTCATAATTAGTAAGAGTTGCAACATTGATATTTCACAGCTTCACCTTTGCGGAACAACTAAATATTCGTCCTTTATCAAAAGATCTGTGGAGTTATCTATTCTGAAGCTTACCGATTCATTTTGATATCTACGTCCATTTACGAATATCTTTATTTTATTTTTAAGCTTTTTGTTAGCTAACTCCAATTGCGATACAGAGTGTTTCGTTGAACAGGACTGTTTGTGAACTAATAAAGTTGTGAAGTTCCGAACGCATTGTTAGCCTTTTCTTAACGTGGTATATTCCCAACAATATGGTGAGCATGGTTTGCTACGTAAAAGAAGGGTTCTGCGGAATGTATTCAGCAACGTACAGGTGTCTAATTGCCATTGTGTATGAGTTTACACCAGCGTGCTGGTGTAGATTTAGCAGAAGCTGTTAGAAATTTCGTGACTTGAACTTGACACGGTTTTTTGTCCTGTAATGTATCCTACCTTCCAACGGCTTGCCGCTTCATCGTAGTTGAGAGATGTTCATCGGTGTTGGGCTGCGGTGTACAGCGGGGGTTCCTCCCCCGCTACAGCCTCACAAACTGGAAATGAGTTCGACGTTTCCATCTGGAGGCCTGGCTAATAATAAGCCAACACGAATACCTGGAATCATCACCGTCGTGGTATTAAACCGTTCTCACGGTGGCAGGTCCTCTGATCCACAAGGACGGCGACAACTTCGGGTGGTGGCGACCCGAAGAAGGCTTTGGCTAGACTGACTTCGGGACTCCAAGGAACCATTGCGGCTAAACCAGCAAATCTTCGGAGAATGCAAATTGCACTGGGGTACACACAGCTGGTGAAGACGGTCATATAAGCAAGCGAGCAATGTATTCTAACTCAACGCAGCCGTTCTAGTTGGCTCCCAGTGCAGAAAGCAGTTGCTGACACTTATAAATCGGAAGAAGGCTCGTTGCCTTACGAACTGAGTTCTTCCAAAAAGCGGAAGATATCTTCGATAAATTGATTGAGGACGATGTAACTATTGGGCAACATAAATTATTAATAGAACGCTTCCGAAATGTGTCGTCGCCACAAATTCTTCGATGGTACATACAAAAGCTAAGAGTATTGAGCGAAAGTTCAATGTTTTCTTCCTTATAACTACTGTAATGCTGAGATATTTGCAAAACTCCGGACCGCGGGTGTCTGCGGTGGGGAACGAGAGCGCTGTTGTCCTTTCCGGGGAGTAACGCGTTCACCACCACACCACGCTGGTCCTTCGTTTCGCCTATCTCTCAGCTAGTTCTATCGATCAATGCCATCAGCAATCACAAAGGAACCATGCAGCTAATAGGACATCTAAATCGGTATTTGAAAAGGGATTAAATTGCAGACACCGTGATATACTGTCCCATATGTGAGAACGTTAACGACCACAATCTCTAGGTGTGCGCTTTCTTGAAACGGCACTTTTCTAAGTAACTGCCACGACCGACTTTCTATTAACCTCGGCATTGATCAAGTGATTTTCTTCGTATTTTTGTTGAGCAAACGCGAGGTGTTACTATTCTTTGTTCACGATTAAGCAGACGTTTCGGCGAATTTCGCCTTCTTCAGAGCCTGGAAAGGTCAAGTTGATAGCAATCTACTCGGCCAGACGCCTCTATAACCAAACAAAGAAACCCCAAACCAAGATTTCAATCACTTTGAACACAGCTTTGCACACTCATCGCTTCCTATGAGGTTTCCACTAAGTATGTCACGTAGAGACCAGCCGCACAGAAATCACGTGGAAGTATAATGTGCCCCTCACATCAGAAAAGCAGTTTTATATACTGCCCTATGTCACGCGTGATAATAAGGCATTCTTCCCTGCGGTTCATTTTCGGATTTCTGGAATTAATCCAGAGTGCCTCGAGAGTTTTTCGCGCCTGTGTTGAGGCACTCTGGATTAATTCCAGAAATCCGAAAATGAACCGCAGGGAAGAATGCCTCATTATCACGCGTGACATAGGGCA